AGTTTCCAGGGACTACCTTCCAGGGACAGCCAGGAATCATCTTCAGTTACGTTTAAGTAATATTTAAGTTCAGGAACTTCTGTCTTCCATTCATCGGCTCTGGTATTGTTTCCTGTTTCTTGCATTCTTTGAACTTTTCCTGTGACAACCAACCATAATATCATTTTCTGCCATTATTGTTGCGAAGAGAATGCCCCACCAAAAATGCATTAGGTTTCTCGGGAAGTCAAAGGAAGGAAGTCAGAGCTGTGCTAACCAAGAGCGGTAAGGACGGGTATGGCGCCAGTCAGAGAAGGGTTACAAGGGTAGCGTATTAGGATAGGTTCGGTGTCCACGAACTCTGAAAGTCTGCACGGATAAGACTGTTAGCCAAACACATGACCAAATCTGATTCTCATTTTGGCGTCTAGATCAGGTCTACCCATTCTCTTCTGTTCAGCCTCCAGATATCTGTCATTGTGCCTGAGGATTTAGTCCCGTGTTTCGTTCCCTGTCTGCGTTCTGTCGTTGGCTTTTGTTTTGTTGTAAACAGCATTCTGTTCAGCCTGCCCCCTCTCAGTTTTCTGTTCCCCCAGATTCAGCCACTTTCATCCCTTGTGGCTCTACTTGCCTCCATATTTCTAAATAACCAGCCTATTGTAGTGCATCTTGATTTTCCCCCTTAACAATGATTATTCAGTATAAAAGTGTAATGATTTAATTCTCTTTCACCCTCCTTCCTTCATACTCCCCATGATACACACACTGTCTTCTTATACTCCAGTCATCTTAATAAAGTTACTTCATTTGGGTTAGATCGGTCTTCAGTTCTTACATCTTCATGACTATGTAAGTTCTGTTCACAGGTAAATCATGCAAATACGCAATGGTGTTAATTTTTGTTCATAGATCATTTATTTTCTTTTGAGTTGTTTTATTTGTCTGCCAAGTCTTCCCTGTTCTCATCATTAATGTATTTATCATTAACCCCAGACTTTTCTTCACATGTCTAAATATTCTTGTGGTACAGTCAACCAATTTAGTAATTCTGTCAGTCTCTTCCTGATGACATCACTTCTTTTTGACTTTCTCCGTTATAACCTAGTTTTTCTCATATCCTGGGTATACCATTTTTTATCCTGGAGTCTCAGGTTTTATTTTCTATATCTGTTTTGTGTCATCTGTTTTCTTGGTTGGTTTTATTAGAGCACTCTTCAAGTAGCTTCCTGTGAAAGAGTGCATGTGATACAAATTTTGAGACCTGCGCCTCCAAAAATGTTTATATTTTACTCCTGAATGCTCTGCTTTTTGTCCTCTAGGGATGCTAATGAGAAGTCAGATGCCATTCTAAATTTTGATCCAATTATTTATTGAAAGAATATAATGCTGAGATCCCTTCCAACTGCTTTATATTTTCCTTATTTTTCCTTGTACCTATTTTGTTTTCTTTACTCACTATGCAAAATTTCAAGACTTAAAACTATCTGTGTGCATTCTCAGTTTTCTATGCCTATCTTCATTTTTAGTTTTTTTTTTTTTAATTTTTATTTATTTTTGAGACGGAGACAGAGTGCGAGTGGGGGAGGGGCAGAGAGAGAGAGAGAGAGGGAGACACAGAATCCGAAGCAGGCTCCAGGCTCTGAGCAGTTAGCACAGAGCCCAAGGCGAGGCTCAAACTCAGGAGCCGTGAGATCATGACCTGAGCTGAAGTTGGACATTTAACTGACTGAGCCACCCAGGTGCCCCTTCATTTTTAGTTTTGATTGTTCTCCCCAATGGCCAGGAGTTTCATTACGTTTATACTTGAGGTTTTATTTATATTCAGATCCGATATATGAAACTAAAAGTATAATCTCATGACATGGCATTTTTAAGATGATTTTATGTTCTGCCAGGATCGTGTTATTATTTTTAACATGTAACTATTTTCTCATTTCTAGAAAAAGTCCTGGAAATTGATGATCATATGGACTGGCATCAGGAAAATCAAGGCAAGCTGGAAAGTATGGCAAAAAACTATGAATGTACTGCATTTGGAAAACTATGTCTTCTTAGTACAAATTATGATTCTTCAGGACAAAAGCTTCATAAATACATCACTCATGGAATGAGTTTTAAATATAATATAGATTTCAATAGTGGTTTTGCTGGAAAGAATCCTAATGAGTTTCACGCATACAGGGAACCATTCCATCATTCTAAACACGAGCAAACTGTTACTGGAATAAAATACTGTGAAAGTAATGAATCTGGTAAAACTGTCAACAAGAAGTCACCACTCATATGCCAACAGGTGTATGTGGGTGGAAAACCCTTTGAATGTGGTTTTTGTGGGAAGGCCTTCAGCAGCAAGTCATACCTTGCAGTGCATCAGCGAACTCACGCAGAAGAGAAACCCTACAAATGTAAGGGATGTGGGAAGGACTTTAGCAGCAAATCCTACCTCACTGTCCATCAGAGAACTCACACAGGAGAGAAACTCCATGAATGCAGTGAATGTGGGAAAGCCTTCAGTTTCAATTCACAACTCGTTATACATCAAAGAATTCACACAGGTGAGAATCCCTATGAATGCTGTGAATGTGGAAAAGTATTCAGTAGAAAAGACCAGCTCGTTTCACACCAGAGAACTCATTCGGGGCAGAAACCCTATGGTTGTAATGAATGTGGTAAGGCTTTTGGTTTGAAGTCACAGCTCATTATACATCAAAGAATTCATACAGGAGAGAAACCCTTTGAATGCAGTGAATGTCAGAAAGCCTTTAATACAAAGTCAAACCTTATGGTACATCAGAGAACCCATACAGGGGAGAAACCGTATGGTTGTACTGAGTGTGGAAAAGCCTTTACTTTCAAGTCGCAGCTCATTGTACATCAGGGGGTTCACACAGGAGTAAAGCCCTATGGGTGCATTCAGTGTGGGAAAGCCTTCAGTTTGAAGTCACAGCTCATTGTGCATCAGAGAAGTCACACAGGAATGAAACCTTTTGTATGTAGCGAATGTGGCAAAGCCTTCAGGAGCAAGTCCTACCTCATTATACACATGAGGACTCACACAGGAGAGAAACTCCACGAATGCGGTGACTGTGGGAAAGCCTTCAGTTTTAATTCACAACTCGTTATACATCAGCGGATTCACACAGGAGAGAGTCCATATGAATGCCATGAATGTGGGAAAGCCTTCAGTCGGAAATACCAGCTCATTTCACACCAGAGAACCCATGCTGGGGAGAAGCCCTATGAATGCAGTGACTGTGGGAAAACTTTTGGCTTAAAGTCACAGCTCATTATACATCAGAGAACTCATACAGGCGAGAAACCCTTTGAATGCAGCGAATGTAGCAAAGCCTTTAACACAAAGTCGAACCTTATTGTGCATCAGAGGACTCATACAGGGGAGAAACCCTACAGTTGTAGTGAGTGTGGAAAAGCCTTTACTTTCAAGTCACAGCTCATTGTACATCAGGGGGTTCACACTGGGGTAAAACCCTATGGATGTAATCAGTGTGGAAAAGCCTTTAGTTTGAAGTCCCAGCTCATTGTGCATCAGAGAAGTCACACAGGAGTGAAACCCTACGGATGCAGCGAATGTGGAAAAGCCTTCAGGAGCAAGTCCTACCTCATTATACACATGAGGACTCACACAGGGGAGAAACCACATGAATGCAGTGAATGTGGAAAATCCTTCAGTTTCAATTCACAGCTCATTGTACATCAGAGAATTCACACAGGAGAAAATCCCTATGAATGCAGTGAATGTGGAAAAGCTTTTAATAGGAAAGATCAGCTCATTTCTCATCAGAGAACTCATGCAGGGGAAAAACCTTATGGATGCAGTGACTGTGGGAAAGCCTTTAGTAGCAAGTCCTACCTCATTATACACATGAGAACTCATTCAGGAGAGAAACCACATGAATGTAACCAATGTGGGAAGGCCTTCATTTGGAAGTCACTACTCATTGTACATGAGCGAACTCACGCAGGGGAAAGCCCTTATAAATGTAGTCAGTGTGAGAAATCCTTCAGTGGAAAATTACGGCTCATTGTACATCAGAGAATGCACACAAGAGAGAAACCCTATGAGTGCAGTGAATGTGAGAAAGCTTTCATTAGGAAATCTCAGCTCATTGTACATCAGAGAACTCATTCAGGGGAGAAACCCTATGGATGCAATGAATGTGGAAAAACCTTCTCTCAGAAGTCAATTCTCAGTGCACACCAGAGGACTCATACAGGAGAGAAACCCTGTAAATGCACTGAATGTGGGAAAGCCTTTTGTTGGAAGTCTCAGCTCATTATGCATCAGAGAACTCATGCGGATGAAAAACATGTTGATGAATTAAATGTAAGAAACTTTCTTCCAAAAGTCAACTCATAGGAAACTCCAGCAAATTCATACAGAAGAGAAACTCTGTAACTGAAATAATCTCATTGTACACCAGAAAACTAATACTGAATAGAAACCTTATGAATGCACAGCATGTGGCAGGGCACCCACAGAAAGCTGCTTTTTGCATATAAAATAAAAACAGTAAATGCACACGGAATGTCATGAATTCAGTGAGCCCGGTAGGTCATCCTTTGTTAAAGTTTGTACAGGTGAGGAGCCATATCAATGAAGTGAATTTTGGAAAGTTATTTTTTTTACTGTGATAAAATTTGCAAAGAGGAAGTTTCATAAAGCAAGTGAATATGGAGCACACTCCTTTGAAATTAATTTTAAACCGTAGGATTTTAATGAGAGAATGTGTAAAGGCAATGAATGGCAGAATTATCAAAATTGCACACTTTTTTTTTTGTTAATTTTTTTTTTCAACGTTTATTTATTTTTGGGACAGAGAGAGACAGAGCATGAACGGGGGAGGGGCAGAGAGAGAGGGAGACACAGAATCGGAAACAGGCTCCAGGCTCCGAGCCGTCAGCCCAGAGCCTGACGCGGGGCTCGAACTCACGGACCGCGAGATCGTGACCTGGCTGAAGTCGGACGCTTAACCGACTGCGCCACCCAGGCGCCCCAAAATTGCACACTCTTTAGGTATCAGAAAATCATACCTTGGAGAAATCATGCTGTAAATTAGGGAAATTCTTCATCTAGGAAAGACAAACTTCTATTTAAAAAAATATATTATGAATGAAGATCTATGAATGTGTCAGAAGGGGTAAAGCCTCAGTAGAAAGGTTCCCTTCACTGTTATTTTAATTTGGAAGATAATTTAAGAATTATTGTAAGGGAAATTATGTTCCAGATGTTCCAGATTGTTAGGAAAATATTGGAGAAAATATTCAACTATAAATGATAGGCATGTTCATAATGGAATAGAAAGTGGTTTTGTTTTTTTTTTTTTTTTTTTTTTTACAATGTAAATAAATATAATCAGGATAACCAGAAATACATCATAAGACCTACAGGGATATTTAGATGTTATCTTCCTTTTACTATAGGAGTTATGTGTAGTTTGGCATTCCACTTGTGAATGTCACATATGAGAGATAAGTTAGATACATGCCATTGCCCAGGGACTTATTCTTTTTAAGAAATACAACTTGTTTCTAGAATAATATGATTTATTAAAAATACATTTCAATACTACAAACCTTTTCTACTGTTTTGTACCTTTTGTAAGTGGGCCTGGTGGCTACTTCTTTAGTTACGTACATTATTATAGTGCATAATTGATGTGTTTGTGTAGCTGGAATCTATTCTGCCCTCACTAGTTAGAGCATCTTGATTTTCACTAAGATAATCTCTCACAGTGTGTGAGGTCCTGATGGGGCCATCATTCAAGGTGCCCTACAAAGGACTTGACATGATCGTCAAAGTAGGCTGAGATATTCCAGACGTTGAATTTCTCATGGACTCCTTAAGTACCAAAAAGCAAACTGAGCTTTTGTTTTCTGGTAACATTTTCCTGCAATTATTAATTAGTTCTTTCTGTATAGATTACCCAGGATAGCTTTAGTTATTGTCATTTTAAAATTCTAATTCACTTATCTTTATATGAGGTATCTGGTGTGCTTTTAACATATTTAAATGACACATTTAGTGGCACTGCTGAAATGTGGTCAGGCACACCTCATTTTATTGTCCTTCGCAGGCAATGCTGTTTCCCAAATTGAAGGCATGTGGTGACCCTGCACTGAGCAAACGTATTGGCTTCATTTTTCCAATAGCATTTGCTTACTTCATGTCCATGTCACATTTCACTAATTCTTGCAATATTCCAAACTTGCCATTATTAGTTATGGTGATCTGTGGTCAGTGATTATGATTTGCTGAAAACTCAGCATGGTTTAGCAATGTATTTAAATTAAAGTATGTACATTGCTTTTCTTAGACATAATGCTATTGTCCATTTAATAGACTACAGTGTAGTGTAAATATAGCTTTTATATGCGTTAAGAAACAAAACTTCATTTGACTCGGTTTATTGCCACATTTGCTTCACTGTGGTAGTCTGGAACCAAACCTGCAGTTGTCTGAGGTACGTGTGTACGTGTTGCTGTAGAGTGAGGATGGGGAAAAGTCACTGTGCCAGCTTCCTTCTTACAAGGTCAGTTTTCCTCTCCAGTTTCTTTATGTGAATGAACATTAACCTGAAGAGAGTTGGGACCCTGGCAATCACAGCTACACTTCAGGAGTCGCGTATTGCAAACCACAGATGTTTCTCTTTTTAAATTTTTAAAAAACGTTTACTTATTTTGAGAGAGAGACAGAGTGTGAGCAGGGAAGGAGCAGAGAGAGGTGGAGCCACAGAATCTGAAGCAGGTTCTAACCTGCTTGGAGGCTCTGAGCTGTCAGCACAGAGCCCGACGTGCAGCTTGAACCCATGAACCGTGAGATCACGTCGGACGTTCCACCGACTGAGCTGCCCAGGCGCCCCTCAAGCCACAGATACTCCTGAATCCCCTCCCACTTTGTCCTCTGTACTTGAGGAGGGAATACCACCATTTACCCTCCTTTGAAGGAGGTGTTTAACGATTTCTGAATGCCTGGTCCTTCCTGTGTTCAGCTCATTACACAGGATGCAATCTAAAGATACCTGGAGTAAAGAAGGATGATTCACAGAAGAGAAGAGAAAGTTTGCATGAGGGAAGAATGTCAGATACTTGATCAAGTGTATTCCCTAAATCTGGAAAATATAATGAGTATGTGTTCTGTCATAGATGTTCCAAGGAAGATTCACACATAATAATGAATTGTGTGAATGTATCGTGCGATGCAAATCCACATGCAACCTTGCCCAGTAGAAATGTTAATATAATGTTGACAACATTATAATGTTTCAACAACGTTGAAATCAAATACTGTGGGAAAGGCTAATGCTAACATTAAGTTCTTAATCTTAAAAAGAAAATTTGGGGCAACTGGTCAGTGTAGAGTGTGCAACTCTTGATCACAGGGTTGTGAGTTTGAACCCCATGTTGCACGTAGAGATTGCTTAAAAATAAAATAGGGGTGCCCGAGTGGCTCAGTTGGTTAAGTGTCTGACTTTGGCTCAGGTCATGATCTCACGATTCATGGGTTTGAGCCCTGCATTGGGCTTTGTGCTGACAGCTCAGAGCCTGGAGTCTGTTTCGGATTCTGTGTCTTCCTCTCTCTGCCTCTCCCCAACTCACGCTCTTTCTCTCTCAAACATTAAAAAAATAAAATAATAAAATAAAATCTTTAAAAAAAGAAAATCTACCAGATAAATGAAATTTAACAGAATGAATAGATTTACAACCAACAAACAATAAGAAAAAGTAAAAAATTGAATCTCTGGCTTGAAATCTGTCTAGCCCTTCTAACCCTGCCCCAGCCCCAGACTTTTAGTAATAGCTGATTATTCTCAGGAAAATTCAAGGAAAGATAATCCAGCATTTTACGGTTTTTCCAAAAAATCGACATGGGGGGGAGGATAATTCATGAGTCGTATTTATGAACATAGGTTAAAATGTACTAAATCTAATAGCAAAATTAATTCAACAATGTGGAGGTTTTTTTTTTTTTTTAAAGCCATGACAATACGTGTAGCAGACTACTAGTCATGAACCCAATGTCCCTTCATTACCAACAGAGTCCCTGTGCCTTTTTATTTTAAAGTTAATTTATTTATATTGAGGCAGGGGAGGGGCAGAGAGAGAGGGAGAGAGAGAATCCCAAGCAGGCTCTGCGCTGCCGACACGGGGCCTGAACCCATGAACCAGTGAGATCATGACCTGAGCTGAAATCAAGAGCCGGACCCACTCAACTGACTGAGCGACCCGGGTGCCCAATTACTGTAGTTTTCATACTGACAATGAGCTCAGCCAAAAAGTTACATTTCTCCATTGTTCTTGTAGTGAAGTATCTTGCTACTAAATTCTGAGTAATGAAGTAGAGGTTGCTGACAGTGTCTAATGGAAAGGCTGTAAAGAAAATGGGGAGAGCCCCCTAGTGTTCTGGAATCATTTGCCACTTTAATACACAGCACACATGATGGTTGGAGATTGGGCATCCATTGTGGAACCTGGATTCATCTCAAGGACAGAAGCCACCTGCGTCCGTGCTTTCTGGTAATGACGGGGCTGCTATACCAGCTCTACACTACTAACATCTGAATATCTTTTACACAAGGGTGCATGAACTGCCTTGTTTAAGCCACCTTTTCTTTTTTAGGTAGGAAGGGTGTTGGATCTGTTATGTGCAGCTGAATGTCACCCTATAAAAATACATTATGATGTTTGGGAGATTTAATATTTAGAAAATCTTCATAAAATTAATCACACTACCAGATAAAAGAAAGGCCATGTGATTATCTCAATATGTGTAGATAACACGTTTGATGGAATGTAATACCCTAGATGATTTTTAAATATTATTAAATTAGGAATGGAAATTAAATCCTTTAACTTTGCAAACAGAATGTTCCAAAACTGGACATAAGTACTTCTTGGTAGATATATGCCATTATATTAAGAAAATTACAAGAATGGCCATCACTTTTATTGAACAGTGTGTGATAATTCTAGCCAATGTGTGGAAACAAGGAATTGGGGGTGAGGGCAGAAAAAAAAAAAAAAACAAAAAACCAAACTTCCATTGTTTGGAGGTGTGGTTGTCTATTTAGGAAAACCAAAATAAACCTCAGGCAAATACAGAGAATTGCAAATAGAGTAGGATCTCTACTGGATGCGTATCAGTTGTGTTGCTCTGCTTCTGGTTAGACTGGGCAAGCTACGACATCTTCGAAACTGAGAGCACAAACCGCAGTGAGCATGGCGGTAGGAAGTAGAAAGCACTTTCTAGAAGAAAAGAGAGTTTCTGCTCTCATCCTCGGTGAAACTGCAGGAAGAGGAGAGGGCCCACGTAGCAAAAGGGAAAGCAAGACAAGCAGGCAGTTGCCTGTGGACTGGCGTGACACATCAGAATCCCAAAGTGCCCCCGCCACGAAGGAGCATCCGGGCAACTCTTTCCCATGGGTCTTCCTGGAACCCTCAGAGATAGTATGACAAGTGCGATATTGATAGAGAAAAATATTTTCATTTTATTTTTTAAAATTTGCATCCAAAGTAGTTAGCATCTAGTGCAACAATGATTTCGGCAGTAGATTCCTTAATGCCCTTTACCCATTTAGCCCATCCCTCCTCCCACAACCCCTCCAGTAACCCTCAGTTCTCCATATTTATGAGTCTCTTCTGTTTTGTTCCCCTCCCTGTTTTTGTATTATTTTTGTTTCCCTTCCCTTATGTTCATCTGTTTTGTGTCTTAAAGTCCTCATATGAGTGAAGTCATATGATTTTTGTCTTTCTCTGACTAATTTCACTTAGCATAATACCCTCCAGTTCCATCCACGTAGTTGCAAATGGCAAGATTTCATTCTTTTTGATTGCCGAGTTACACTCCATTGTGGGTGTGTATATATACCACATTTTCTTTATCCATTCATCCATCGATGGACATTTGGGTTCTTTCCATACTTTGGCTATTGTTGATAGTGCTGCTATAAACATGGGGGTGCATGTGTCCCTTCGAAACAGCTCGCCTGTATCCTGTGGATAAATGCCTGGTTGTGCAATTGCTGGCTCGTAGGGCAGTTCTATTTTTAGTTTTTTGAGGAACCTCCATACTGTTTTCCAGACTGGCTGCACCAGCTTGCATTCCCAGATAGAGAAAAATTTTTAAAAGTCCTGTTGAGATGCCCAGGTTTTCCTTTAAGTGCAAGGCAGATACTATCTGAAGGAAGGTGACAGGGCAACAATTGAGAGAAATCCATTAGAAGCACTCCGGACTTTTAGGCTGAGGGATGGGCAGAGAACTGAGAACACACACATATGAAAACCACCCCCAGGCATTAAAATCTATTACAAAAGACTGGAGAAGGGTCAGGAGAGCTGAGAGACTCCCAAGATCTTGTAGGCCTTCCCAGAGTGCAGGGCTGCTGTTCTCAGAGGACCCAGAGACTAGGCAGCAGCATGAAACATCTCTGGGAGCCTGGAAATCCTAAGAATTGGAAAGCAAAGAGACGTTAGCAACCCAGAAAGCAGTCAGTAAGGCAAGGAGGTAAGTAGTTCACCGAAAGCTGGCGGCTTGGCTGTGAGCACAAGCAAGTGTCTAGAATATTCTCATGCTGAGATCCTAGGCCCTCTGAGGAAAATATCCTGATCCTGTCCTCAGAATATTTGAAAGCAGTTGTGCACTAAATGAGAAGCTGAAACAAAGCCCAGACACAGCTTAATACCAGATTAAATTGATTCTGACCTACACCCCATTTCCCCATCTCACAGCTGACACTAGAAAACATGTACCCTTTTCTCTAGGTAAATATGTATTAAGAGCCAAGAAAATCACCAGAAATAAAGAGGGATATTATATAATGATAAAAAAGTAATTCCACCAGACAATCCTAAATGTGCACACATTTCACATCAAAGCTTCAAAATCATTCAAAAACTACTGGAAGGAGAAATACACTCTACCATTGTAATTGGGCATTGCAACACTTCTTTCTTTCCTTTTTTTTCTTTTTAAATATTTATTTTGAGAGAGAGAGAGGGAGGGAGAGAGAGAGAGAACAAGAACAAGTGGGGAAAGGGCAGAGAGAAGGAGAGACAGAATCCAAAGCAGGCTCCACGTGGAGCCCAATGCAGGACTCAAACTCACAAACTGCAAGATCATGACCTGAGAGACATCAAGAGTTGGACATTTAACCAGCTGCACCACCCAGGTGTCCCAACATTTATTTCTGGGTAACAAAATGTGGGGACCAAAATTCAGCAAGGCTATAAAATTAACTGAATACTGCTATCAACAAACGGAATCCAATAGGCATTTCTAGAACATCCAACAGTAGAATACACATTCTTTTCAATTGTTCATGAAGCATTTAGCAATGTGGGTCATGTCTTTGGTCATAAACTGGAACTTAAAAAAAAAAATCATGCAAATTGTCTTCAGACTATAATGCAATTTAATAAGAAACCAATAGCAAAAAGAACAGTAAAATATCCAAATACTTGAAGATTAAGCAACACAAATTCCAAATAACCTATGGACCAGAGAAATCTCAAAAAAACTATATATATATATATATATATATATATATATATATATATATATATTTTGAACTGAACCAAAAAAATCCTGCAAATCAAAAATTGTGAGATAAAAAAGCAGTGCTTATAGAGGATTTGTAACATTAAATGCTCATATTAGAAAAAAATAAAGATCTCACATCAATAACCTAAACTGTTACCTTAAGAAACTAGAAAAAGAACAGTAAAATAAGCTGAAAGTAAATACAAATAAAATAATGAAAATAACCCCAAAAAGCAATGAAGTAACCCTCCCCCCAAAAAAACACTACACATATAAATCTGACAACTGATGAGATGCACTAAATTATTTTTTTTTGTTTTTTGTTTTTAAATTTAATTCCAGTGTAGTTAACATACAGTGTTATATTAGTTTCAGATACGCAGTATAGTGATTCAACAACTCCCTACATCACCCAGTGCTCATCACGCCAAGTTCACTTCTTAATCCTCATCAACCTCTTTCGCCCATCCCCCCCCCATCCACTTGTCTTCAGGTAACAATCAGTGTGTTCTCTACAGTTAAGAGTCTCTCTCTCCCTCCCTCCCTCCCTTCCTTTCTCTCTCCCTCTCTCTCCTTTGCTCATTTGTTTCTTAAATTACACATGAGTGAAACCATATGGTATTTGTCTTTTTCTGACTTATTTTGCTTAGCATTATACTCTCTAGCTCTATCCATGTCATTGCAAATGGCAAGATTTCATTCTTTTTTATGGCTAATAGTCCATTGTATGTATATGCTATGTCTTCTTTATCCATTCACCTATCAATAGACACTTGGCTGCTTCCATTTCTTGGCTATTGTAAATAATGCTGCTATAAACATAGGGGTGCATATATCCCTTTGACTTCGTGTTTGTTTGTTTGTTTTGTATTTTGGGGGCAAATACCCAGTAGTATAATTACTGCATCACAGTGTAGTTCTATTTTTAATTTTTTGAGGAACCTCTATACTATTTTCCACAGTGGCTGCACCAGTTCACACGCCTACTAATAAGAGGGCTCCTTTTACTCCACATCCTTGCCAACACTTGTTTCTTGTGTTTTTTTTTTTTTTTAACGTTTATTTTTGAGAGATGGAAAGAGGCAGAGCATGAGCAGGGGAGGGGCAGAGAGAGAGAGACACAGAATCCCAAGCAGGCTCCAGGCTCCGAGCTGTCAGCACAGAGCCCGACGTGGGGCTTGAACCCACGAACCACTAGTTCATGACCTGAGCCGAAGTCAGCTGCTTAACTGACTGAGCCACCCAGGCACCCCTTGTGTTTTTTATTTTAGCCGTTCTGACAGGTGTGAAGTGATATCTCATTTTAGTTTTGATTTGCATTTCCCTAATGATGAATGATGTTAAGCATCTTTTCACATACCTGTTGGTGGAGGTGGACTAAAATTCTTGACAGACAAACTATCAAAAGTCACTTATGCATAAATGGGTAAACCTGAATAGCCCTATAACTACTAAAGAAATTGAATTTATAGTTAAAAACCTTCCCACAAAGAAGGGGCGCCTGGGTGGTGCAGTCGGTTAAGCGTCCGACTTCAGCCAGGTCACTATCTCGCGGTCCGTGAGTTCGAGCCCCGCGTCGGGCTCTGGGCTGATGGCTCAGAGCCTGGAGCCTGTTTCCGATTCTGTGTCTCCCTCTCTCTCTGCCCCTCCCCCGTTCATGCTCTGTCTCTCTCTGTCCCAAAAATAAATAAACGTTGAAAAAAAATTTTTTTTAATAAAAAAAAAAAAAAAACCTTCCCACAAAGAAAAATCCAAGCTCATATCATTTCATGGTGAATTCTACCAAACATTTCAGGATGAAATAATACCAGTTCTATACAAATTCTTCTAGAATATAGAAGAGGAAGAATACTTCTTAACCCGTTTTATGTGGTCAGCATCACACTGATAACAAAACCTGACGAAGATATTACAAATAGGCAAAACTGCAAATGGTCGTCATGAACATAGATGCAAAAACCCTCAACAGAGAGCTAAA